GGTGAAATCAAAAGCTTAGCAAAAGGGAAAGGTCCTACCCGGAATCGAACCGGGGTTGCCGGAAAAACCAACAAATCAGAATCCGGAGTGATAACCGCTACACTATAGAACCTTTACGTCATACAATGGAGACGCGGGTATTTGTAAACCTGATACTCGAACGCTCAATTTGACTGCCAACCATTCCTGCAGTCAACGCCATCGCAAGCCTCGTCAAAGCGTCCTCAAAACCGCCTAGGAATATGCCTTCTTATGTACATAGCACACTTCCCATCATCAAATGATCAACCGTCATCATCCGTCAACGCCCAACGCCGAGCCCGCCAAAAACCAAAGGCCAACCAAATCCACAGGAAACGCGCCATGCAAATGGATAAATAGGTACCCCTCGCAATTGAATCCCATCTCCAATTCCACTCAGCTCATCGACATGTTGCTCAGCTCAAAGCCGCCGGAGGTCTTGGCGCCCGAACCCGAGCCCGAGCCCGAGCCCGAGCCCGAGACGCCGCCTTGGTGGCTGTACGACTCGTAGGCCTGAGGCGCGGCGGGATAGCCGTGGCCGCCGTACGATGTGCCGTGCGAGACGGCCTGGGGGTCATAGTAGGCCGTCTTGGGGTACTCGTGGGCGTAGGCCTGCTGCGGGTAACTCGCGCTGCTGGCGACGACGAGGTTGTGCGCCTCCTGGTTGTCCGCCTTGTGGTAGCTGCCGCGGAGCGAGCCGCGGCGGTACTGGTGGAAGACGACACTCGCGTAGATAAGCAGGCCGAGGAAGGAGAGGCTGCGGGGTGGTTAGAAAGCGGTTTTTTTTTTGGGGTTTTTTTTGGTGGCATCAAATGGTGATGGGGGAGGGCTTACAGAATGACTACGGCGATGACGATGGAGATGACGCCGTTGTGGGCGCCGATCATGGTCAGGATGAAGTTGACGGTGTAGAACAAGCTTTGAGCGATGTTGACGCCGAGGAAAAAGGGCGGGCTCAGGGTCCGCCTGGCGCGCTTGACGATGCAGACGATGTCGAGAATCAGGCACACGAGGATAATGCCCATGATGACGCATGTGATAGCCATGACGCCGGGGTAATTCAGGCTGGTGTGATATTCATCGGAGAGCCGTTGAAGATCGTCCTTGTAGATACCGAGACCGGCGATCACGAGCGCGTAGAGGCCGATTTGAATAAGCATGATGATGATGCGGAGGACCCAAAAGGGAATGAGGACGCGCTTTAGAAATGGCGATGAGTCGCCCACGACGTATGGGGACGGCATCTTTTCGTGGTGATCGGGTTCGAGTTTGGTGGAACTGCAAGGGAACCGCCAGCCAAAATCAGACTGAACAGGAATTCAACCAATTTTGAAGCACAAGAGATGTTGACGATTTTGACATGTCGCGCTCAGCCGCGAGCGGAGACGGTTGTTAAATGCGACGTCTGCTGTCGGAAATAACCTCGCCCTTGTCAGTTGTCCTTTCCTTTTTGGGAGACTTCGCGATGCAGCCCTGGCGAGACGAATCAGCGTGTTCCCTCTTGACTCAGCCACATGGCAGGGACACGAGCCAGCATGGAGGTCACGCTTGGCAAGCCTCAAGCTCCCGTGGATGGCAAGCGTCGATTGGCCTTCGCGGGGATGGCTGGGGCTGAATTATTGGTGCCTTCGCAGCAGAGCCTCGCTAAGCCGGTTCTGGGGTTGACTCATGCGACTGGCGGCACACCGCCATGGTTGCCGCATTCAGCTCCGATATGATGGATGCGGCTCTTGCAGCTTGAGCCTTTGAGGTCGGGCCACAGGATCGAAACCCAAACGGTGTAACCCATAACTAGGTACCCAAACTCTCCTTCAACCCCTCACCGCTGCCTCACCCTAAGCTCTACCGGTGCCGAGTTCACTACTACCAACTTCGGCCGCCCCCCATTATCTCGTCGATTCAGCGACTTCGCCGCTAGGGTAAAGCAGCGTGTACGGGGTTTGGTCGTATCAACCAGTCCTTTTTCGCCCGACGGATGGTGAAGTCGACGATGAACGGCAACGTGAGAGATAGGTAGTCGGGGTCGGGGCGTGCGGTTAGGTACCTGGAGAAAGAGGCGGGGAGTGACGCGATTAGCAAAGATGAGCGATTCGAAGTTGCATTTAACAACCAACATGTTGTCAATGGGGTTGTGGGTCCTTAGGTACCCCGGATCATCTTTCGTTGCTTTGACAAAGGTGTCAAGGTTCCGGTTTTATGTGTTGTACTCATCGCAAGACGACTCAAAGGAGGTCTTCATTGCTGTTTGAAGATCAAAATCCAAGAATTGGGAAGATTTTGCATATAAATCTTCCTTATCCGCTCAAAAGGGCCCAAAACTGGTCGCTCTGAGGACAAGAAACCGCCCCCTTTGAGCAACAACGAAGACA